GCAGCGCGGCTCCGAATCAGAACCGCTCAGCTGGGAGCGCGCTGCACAGAAGCGCCCAGCGGCGAGCGCGCTGCTCAGACTCGCTCAAGTGCCAAAGCGCGATTCCTCCAGAAAACGTAAAGGAAGTTTGAAGCATCGGGACAAATCATGTGCGCACTTCAGGTGGCATGTTAGGGTTGATTTTGATACTTTGAAATGTGTTCTATCGAATTATGTTCATAAAGTGCGGGTTTGGTCGTGGTTTCTTCTAAAATAATAAGTTTGAAATAAGTGAGTCTTCTTAACCTCGGGGCCACCTTGTTGTGCTCACTCTTAATTCTAATTGTTAGTTTGTTTTTCAACTTGTGTCAATTTTTTGGAGTTATAAATGTTTAGTAAATATGTTCTGTAGCATAAACACAAGATTTCACTCATTATCTTGGTTTGGCTAAGGATAGAAACTTTGGTAGTCTGGTGCTGCCTTTGACGACATTCGCAAACATTCTTTCCAATATCTTTATGCTTTATGGGTAATTAGAGTAATGACTTCCTGAAGCGCAAGTATAAAGAAATAAAGAAATTCAATTAACTGTTTTTAAGTTCCCAGCTGTGAACTGAAATATACGGTAGGTAACTAAAGTTTTGTCTGAATTCTAAAATTAGTATTTCTAACAAAATTTGCTTTTTTTGAAAGATAGATAATTGCTTTATCCTCTTTTTATCTGTTTGCAGTGACCAGTGTCTTACCACAACAAGAAGTGACACCCTATGCGGAGACTGCACTACAACAAGCTTCCAAGCCTCCCAATGGACGGTGCTTCTGGAAAAATTTACTGAGGTGTACTTTGACGTAACTGAAAAGTAATTGCTAATAACAGCTAACAAATGTAAAACGATTTCACAAATGTTATTGGGGAGCAGCTGCAAGCTTCTGTTAGAGATAGAAAACTCATAATGAAAGTAATCTAGTTCAGAAATAGGCTTTGTGCCCCTGCTCTGTCAGTACGCAACACAACCATGCAAGTATGTAGAGGTGATGCTAACGTGGATCTGTAACATGTTCCCAATAGCCTACTAATTGAAAATGCTTCTTTAAAATTTACCTTGTTTCTTTTTATTATCTTTATCTGTTGGCTATTGCTGTAAGTCCTACTAGCACTTAATATAAATTAAAGCTCCTTTCTATCTACTGTAATTAAAACTGTAATGTCTTGAAAAAAAACTGAGGAATTATTGTGTCAAAAATAAAACATTCTGATTGGTACTTGAAGAAACTATCTATTTTAATACTTTTGGTACTACAGGCAATTGTACAAAATTAAGTTAACAGCAACACAATAAAAATTCTAAAAGGCCCTGAAGGACCAAAGTGTCTGATAAGACAGCATAAATATTGTGCTGAATATAGCTTCTCAGATTTTAGAAAATTCTATTCAGCACATACTAAAATAATAAAACAAGAATAAAATCAACACACATAATGCAAACATATAGGTAGATAAAGACACAATTTTTTACTTGAACAGGTGATAAAAGTAAAGAGAAGTAAATTTTATTCTAATCAGTCAAAAGTGGACTAGCCTTTAAAATAGGTTTAAAAGGAACTACCAAAACTTAAAAATATTTTCAGTCACAATAATTAAGTGGACTAGTCTTGAAAGTAAAGCACTACGATAAATTTACACATTTAAAACTGTAGATAAATTTTCTGAGGTGCCAGGCAAAATTACTCTACTTCGTCAAGATTCTGGTCCTCTTCATCTGAATTATTATTTTCCCCACTGTTTGATAGATCTTCTGTGTTACCACTACCATTGCACATCTCTTCATCAGAATCAAATTCAAGATCTGACACCACTTCCTCCTCCACAGGGTTAATGCCACTCAGAACACTTCTCAGGAAGGTTTGTTTCTCAAGCGGCACATGGAGATTATCACATAAATATGTGAGGTCTTTGATAGTGTTTGTTGACAAAGGTATGCTGCCTGTGTAAGCCAAGGGAGGTTCATAAGCTTTCAAATTTACTGGACGACCTTTCTTGTTAGAGCTCATGGTGACATAGTCACTGCCAAAGTCATATTTTACCCTAACAATACTCCCTTCTTGTCCGTTGATAAAGATCTCCTTTACTTTCTTCCATTTTATAGACTGATGTTTCAAGTCATATTCCCAATTTTGCATTTCTACAAGATCTTTGTAGGAGACGATAGATTTTTGACTTAGCTGCTTCACTTTATATTTTGGAAACGCTTCTTTTGCTGCTTCTATGGCTTCAACCCAACCATCAAAATCAAAGATGTCCTTCTTCTCTGTTGATCTTTCAATATTAGCATGAATTGAATCGGCTTCCATTTGGGTATGCCCAGGTTCTAAATATCGATGAGTTATTTTGATTGAATATTTGACACAAAGATGCAAGTACATGGCAAAGAGAAACCGGTTTTTGTTTTGCCCAGCACAGTTATCAGAGTAGAATCGGATGTCAGTATAGCCTTGTTTGACAAGTTTTTGAACAACTTGACTCAGTGAACTCGATATTTCTGAGGATCCTTTCTTCCCAATACCTTCATGCCAGAGAAAGCAAGTGCCGACCCGTTCAACATGGTTAAATACTGTAAAGTTGTAAATATTCAACTTACTGCGGTAGTACATAGCAGAGTCTTCAGACTTGGGGCATGTCAGCTGCTTCTGAAGATCAAATGAGCAGACAGCAATAGTTTTGTCTTTCATTGCTTCATTTTTGTCTTTATCTTTAAGAGCTCGAGACTTCTTTTTGTTGTTTAAGTGAGCCACCCATACATCTTTCCTTGCTTCACGTATTTCTCGATTATTATTTTTCATTAGACAACACAGACTGCACTGATCTTTCTTTGGTTTAAAAAAAACCAATATTAAAATTGCTATTGAGAATGTCTCTGTATTGTCTTTTATTAGCAATGGACACTTTCGGCAAATTGTTTTCAGCAGCCCAGTCAGTGTAGAGCCTTGCCATTTTGTTGATGCTGAGACCCCGTTCCAAATATTCTCGTTTGCTTCTTTTCCGACAGTAGTGGGAGGGAACTCTTGGGAATAGGTTTACATGTTGTTTTACACTCTCTATTTTAGCTGGAGTCATTTTGACTAATCTGTTGGAATGGCGCCCTCTTTTGTCTGGAGAGACAGTAAACCCCTTGTCAGCATTAATTTTCTTGTACGCAGATTCAATCCAACTATCACATATACCCAGAGTGCGCATAAACATTTGCTTGCAGACTTTAGTTGGCTGGCCATTAATAGTAAAAAGAAAAGTACGACTAACTTTGCGCTTTGATGGTTGGCCAGCTTTAGCAGGCTTAGTAATGGCACATTTTGAATTAGCTCTGATAAAATCCCACTGCCTGTCATGTCGACCTAGTTTCCAAAACGTTTGAAAGATATTTTCCCTCTGTTCTTGAGTAACACGGTGCACGCAATCCAAACTACAAGAACAGGGTCCTCTCATTTTAGCAGCTTCCATTTCTTTTCCAGCTGAGGAAATGTACGCTTGTCCAGAATTCTTCAATGCCTTGGTCACATTTCTTTTCCACAAACTTTCATCACATTTCCTTTTCCTTGAAGGACTATTCAATGATGCTTGTCTGCTTCTACTTCTACGCTTGTTGTTGACAGTTGTATCTGCTTCTGCTTCTGTTGTATCTGTGCCTTGAAGTTCCATTGAAGCAGTATCATTGTTGGGTTCAGTATGTGGAGTCTCCAGGAGAGGGTCAGAAATAAAAATACTTTCTGAAATAAAAAGCAAGAAAATATAATAATGCAACAAAACTTAAAATGTGACAAGAAAAATAAATCAACCAGATGTAGCCTAAGAAAATAACTCCAAGGCAAAAAAAAATATACTTTAAAGATTTTTTACCTCCATGAACATCAAGCTGGCCAGGTGAACCCAATATAATAGTTGAGGTTTCACCACTTGGAGAAAGTGGCTCATCATAGAGAACTGTTCCTGTAAAACAGCAATGTATAAAACTTAACACATAAAAGGTAAGCTAAACTGGCTATACACAATGTAAGTGTGAACTTGAATATACTTGTGTGTAGACATGTACTTTACAAAATGTTAATTTACCTCCTTCAGGTACAGCATCTATTGGAGTGGAATGAACCAAAATAGTAAGAGGTCCATCAAAAGAGACTTGGCCACCATCATCTGAAAGACAAATTTGAGATAAATAAAGTTCTCCCTTCCCCTTCATAGAAAGTGATAAAAATAAAAAGTATGAATTTTCTGATATGTTGTTTTTATTTTTAAGTAAATATCTAAAACTAAACTGTGCAGCAGAACCATTTAGTTAAATGTAGTTTAATGCTTACCTCTCAGTATAGGGGAGACAAAATTTGGGGCAACACTTGATGTTGCTGTAGGTGAGACAACTGCATCAGAACTCACTTCATCATCAATTGTTACACCACTGTTAGCAGCAGAAGCTGTATCAGGTATAGTCTCTCCAGCTGAAAGAAAAGAATTATTGAATACAGAGAAAAGATATTAATCTGGGTGGGGGTTTATCTAAGTATTCTATTTCAGGCTAAAAATGTATTGGAAGCCTTCAAAATAGACTCACTCTCATCATCAGACGAACAACCGTATGCTGATTGTATCAAATTCAAGGAAGAATTAAGTGGTACCTCATTGAGGGGAACGGATGCTGAAAAATAAGAAGTGACTAAGCAGACTGTATGTTTAAATTTAATTGATACAGTTACACAGGCTTGTAATATTTATTTACCTGAACTTGGTTTAGTAGCAGGAGAACTTCCTTTAAAGAGTTGTCGCTTGGCCTTAGGACTCTGTCTTTCATTAAGATCACCTTTGTTAGAGCTACTACCAGTCCTCTTCTTCTTGACATCTTCACGTTTGGTTGTAAGATCAGACCCCCCTCCAGGTTTACCTCCATCTGTTGAACAACCAATAAAACTTTTTAGATTTGTTTTCTTTATGTTGTGCTAGCAAGCAGTTTCATAGCAATTAAACAGGAATATGGTACAAGTGCAAGCATTATCACAAGGCATGAAATGGTTACATAAAAATGTTCTCAAGAAGAAAAAAGCACATATTGCAACTCATGACACTCCACTTGACAGTCAAACAAGAAATAGTAAAACCTAAACACACAATAAAAAGGCATACTTATGTAACGTGGCTTAGAAATTGTAAACGAAGAGAAGCACGATATCACCTAGCATGCATACTGCATTATAGAGAATAGCAAAGGTTAAAACGGCTTTAGTTGATGTTGACTTACATTCGCTGTTGAAAAGTAGTTGAATAGAATTGAATGAGATGAGGAAACTTTCTGAAATGTAAACTTAATGCAAGGAATAGAGAAAATGAAGATGATACATGACATCCAAGCAATTAAAACAAAATCAATTCAGGTAAGTAATTAACTTTGACCTATGGAAAGCCTTCAAAACTGTATTGCTTTCTAATAATAGTTTTACTTCAGAGAGTTCCAGCATCTTTTCAAATCTAATAAAGCTGAAAATATAAAATACCATTTAAAATATTAATACAAATTATTAATGCTCTTTTAACATGATCACAGACAGGCATCTGGCATAACCAACAACCTTCTGCTTTCTTATCTTAAAATATTTGAAGATTCTAATAGAATTATAGTTTACGTACCAAGATTGGTCTTGAAAGTCTTATAAGATTCCTCGTGAATTGGAGGACAAGGGCTCTCTGCTACTGAATCTGTAAAATAAAAATAAGATGTATTTACTAGAACAACACACTGCCATATACATACAATACTTTCAAAAATAAAAACATAAAAACATAACTCCAAACAAGGATTTTTTTAATTCAGAAAATAACCTGGTAAAATAAAGTCAAAAAGTTGCACTATTGTTTCGAACATTCTTGAACTACAAGATCACGACAATATGTGTCTTGTGTCGGTCAATACTCATTATTAGTAGCTAAATATTTGTTGTCTTGGATTTAATGACATTCAGTTTTGTTGAAACTAAGAGCAGAAACATGACTGAACATTCTCATGGAATGACACATTGGGAGATCACACAAAAAAGGTAACCCCAACAAATGTTTCAATAAGAAAAGTTTGCTCCCCTAACATAAACTTGGTTGTAAGACTCGGCAATTTATGGTATACATTTTACCAAAAATTGAAGTAAATAAGAAAAATCATAAGTTGAGGAACAATTTGCTAGGTTATGCCGCCAAACTTTGGTGTTTGCTTTTATGCACTACAAAATATGAACAGAACAAAACTACGTACCATCTGCTGTTACACGCTCACTATTATTATCAGGTATGTTCTTTTGCAGCGCGAGCTGCAGTAGTTTGCTGCTTCGGCTACTCATGTTTCACCTTCGCCGTTTCACATTCCTCGACTCTACTCGACGTCGCAGGCTCGCGCAGGGGCTAGAGGCGCTAAGAGTCGGGCGTCATCTAGATGAGCGGTTGTGCGTGGGAAGGGTGTGACCAGGTTTGAGGTTAGTCCATATTTCAGATGCAAATAGTTCTTACACTGTTCTATCCTCCTCAAAACCGAGGTAACCAGCTTAAAGAGGAGAATAAACTCTAACAGATTCATTAATAACCCAATTTCACCCGAAATTGGCACTTGAGCGAGTCTGAGCAGCGCGCTCGCCGCTGGGCGCTTCTGTGCAGCGCGCTCCCAGCTGAGCGGTTCTGATTCGGAGCCGCGCTGCTGAGCGCATCTGCGGCGCGGCTCTGCTGCTACGCGGGTCTGAGTTGATGCCAGGATTGTGAGCGCTTGTTGATAGGAGGTACCGTAATGCCCTTCGGATTGCTTGAGGGAGCCCACTACTCCAGCTCGTGACCGAGCCGGCTCCAGCACTCCCCTCCTCCCCTTCCTCTCCCGTTGCTATGCTGCCCGCAAACAACAAGTGACAGACGTTGTTTATTTTTTATCTGGCCGTGGCTTTTGCCGCACGTTGTCGTTGGTCTCGATTTCTTTTTTGTCAGCTGATGATTCAATTGCTTTAACGGCTATCGCAGGCGGAGGGAGAAGGAAGAGAAAGCAGGAGGGATGGGGTCGACAGAAGTTGTGTTCCGTTTTCGTTCCTCGGTTACAGAACATAATCGAGCATTTCCATCTCGCAGACCCAGAAGCCGAAGAAGTGAAGGGAACTGAATACAGCTATCTGCCCTCTACACCGTGCGCCAAGCTCTCTCACTCTCTGTCTCTCATATTGCTGCCAGCCGGCCTGTCGACAGGGTGGGACCGGCGGAACATATGTTATTGCTGGTTGGCGCGTGAAACACCAAACGAGGAAAAGAAAACAATATAAATGATTGTGGGAACACATGCTCCCGACACACACACAAACACACACACACATGCACAGGCAGGCTCAGTATTTGGCCCTGGGCTCTAAGATCGAGAGACGGAGCGCTGTTTCTGAATGTTTGTGCGAGAGCAAGAGGGTATGTGGCCTGATGTGGCCAGAGCGCCATCTCACTCTCTCTTCCTAGTCCACATGGCAAAGCGCGGGGGAGGGGGCTAGGTTATGATTTACTGCTTCTACCCGGGGAGATTCCTTCACCTGGGCCGGCAGGGCTCCGCCCGGCCGCGCGCGCCCCTCCCTGCCGCGCGTGTGACTGGCGTGACGGCGACCCTGCGCCTGTCCGAACAGCACAGGCAAGGGAAGGCGCTAGGACGGAAATGCT